GGGTCACCTGCCTATTGTTCAACAACCACAAGAAAAACAAAACATAACAAAAACCAGGCTCTTTATGACTGTCTTTCTTAGTACAACTCACTTATAACCACAAAATTCTGCAACAAGTAGACCCCTGTAGCTGCCACACCCACCTTTTTTTTTTTTTTTAAGATTTATGTATATGAATGCCCGGTCTGCATACATGCCTTTGTGCCTGAAGAGGGTATCAGATCCCATTATAGGTGGTTGTGAGCCGCCACCTGGGTGTTGGAAATTGAACCTGGGTCCTTTGAAAGTGCAGTCAGTGGTGTTTGTTTTCTTGGTTTTTGTTTTTTGAGACAGGGTTTCTCTGTAACAGCCCTGGCCATCCTGGAACTCGATGTGTAGACTAGGTTGGCCTTGAACTCACTGAGATCTGACTGCCTCTCCCTCCCAAGTGCTGGGATTAAAGGTGTGTACCACACCCCACACCTCCAGCCCACGGTCAGGTCAGTGCTTTTAACCACTGGTTATAGATGGTTGGGAGACACCATGTGAGTGCCAGGAATTGAACCTGGATCCTCTGGTAGAGCACTCAGTGCTCTTAACCACTGAGCTTCCTCTCCAGCCCGCCACACCCACCTCTTAACCATAGCAAGCAAGAACCTAGAAGGAGAACCATGTCCAGAACTGGGGGGAGGGGGTTGGGGGGGTCAGCAATTTAACTTCAGATTCCTCCAGCCTAACACTTTCTTATTCTCCTAATCCTGCAGGGATGGGCGGTTTTTGAAACACTCTATGTGCTCCTCTTTTGTGGTAGTATTCAAAACTGTATTGAAAACACTTGGCGTAAACTAAGACCATGCTTAGGAAACGCAGGTGCTTATAGACAGCCTATCAAGCCCCACCCAGCAAGAAATCATCCATCTATGATTTGGAGCTGTGGAGACTTTGTACTTGGTTCAAACGTGCCCTGTGTTAGGGCTACTTTTCTTGAATTAAGTACCTGTAATCTACAGAAGAAAATGAAATCAAAAGAGGGTACCAAAGATGTGATGTGAGCAGAAACAAAGCAGGTAGCTAGTAGGGACAGAATAAAGAATGGCAGATCTAAGATGCAGGCCAAAGAGCCCTCATCTCCAACCTCCCACCCTAGCAGCCTGGATCAGCACCAGACTGGGTCTGTGCTGCTGCAATTTCCAGGGCCTCCTGCAATGCGCCACTAAGACTTCAATAGCCGAGTCCTGCATCTACCATTGCTGTGCTGTATCCTGTTCCTCCCATCTCAGTTACTGTTCATTCTGTGGCTGGGAAGAGACACCATGATCAAAGCAGCTTACACAAGAAAGCATTTGATTGGAGGCTTGCTCAAGGTTTCAGAGGGTTAGTCTGGGACCATCACAGGAGGGAGTTGGCTGCGTGCAGAGCATTGCCCCAGGGGCTGTAGTAAAGAGCTTTAAGTTGTGATTCAAAGACAGAAGATGGGGGTGGGGGTGGGGGTGGGAGGGAGGGAGAGTGGGAGAGAGAGAGAAGAGAGACACTGGCCCAGGTGGGCTTTTGAAACATCAAAGCCCTCCCAGTGACACACCTCCTCCTCCACCAACTAGGAGCCTAAGAGGGCCATGCTCAGTCAAACACCACACTCCCCATTGGCTTGAGGACCTCCAGAGGTCAATGTGCAAGACAGCCAGGCCTGGGGAAGGGGCTGTGTGATGGAGGAGGCATCTATCCCACCGAAACAGCAGTAGCCATGTGGGTTGTGGACAAACATCCAAAGCCCCTCAGGTGTCAGGACCCAACAAAGTCCTCCCACCCCTGAAGCCCACCAGGAGCCATGTCCTTTTGAATTTTAAGGCTATCCCACTTTGAACTTGAAGCTTGGTAAACTTCAGGGTTTGTCTACACACTAAGATCCTTAAACTTTCATTCCCCAGGTGCTGACCCTTAGATATTCACAGCTCATGGGCCAAGGGGCCAGGTGCGGGCAGAGCAGTGGCTTTCCCCATGGACCTTCCCCCGGTGTACTGAAAGGGGAGATGAGCAGGTTCCTGGGGCCGGGTTCCCAGTGTCTCCTGTTTGCCTTACTGTGCAAGTGGGAACTGACAGCGTAGCTGGGGTGGGGTGAGGGCCTCGCTGGAAAGGGGTCCTTGCAGTACAAGATAGCCACAGTCACCTCCAAATCCTCTGATTTCCAGTGAGATATACTGGCCTTGGGAGATCCCACGAAATGTAATGGGGTGCTGGTAGTTGTCTAAAGGGTTGGATCTCCAGAAAGATTGAAAACCAAGGAAAGTAAACATTAATGCCTTGGGAGTGGAGGGCTGCTAAACCAGAAGCTGGCTTGGCTATTTCATAAGTCCTGGGTCCTCCCCTTCCTTGTTGGTCCTGTTAAGGTACACACCCCCGTACCTACATGCCCTTTTCCCCTGTCAATGTCTTCTGGGAACAGGAAGTTGCCATCTCAGAGAGCTGCCTTTGATTTCCCTGCCTACCCGAGTTCCTGTGAGTCTAACCACCTTTCACTGTGTCACCCTCCTACCCACCCTCCCCCCCCCCCACCCACCCTAAGCAGCTTCCAGACAGTGATGAGGCATACATGCCCTCTGCTCCGGCACTCGAACATCGTCAGGTCAGTCCAGAAAGACAGAGTGACTGCTGGGTCCCTCCCCAGACTTAATGACCCAGTCTGTGAGACCTTAGCCCCTGCCTGGCCCTTTTACCCATTCTAGCTCAGGAGATCACTGCTTTCATCCCAAGGCTGCAGTTTGGGATTCATCCTCAGCCTTTGCTGGAGTCCCCAGCAGTGCCCTCTAAGCCCTCTGTGATGTCCCAGTCATGACTACAGGTCTAAGTGACATCAGCGTCCTTTACTGGGAGTACTAGAAGAGCCAGCATCTGTTACAGTGATCTCCAGGAGAGTTCAGTTAAACTTTGAACAGTTGTTTAAGCTTATTTGGTTTTCAGAGGGCCTTGGATAGGCTGTCAATGAGTCACCACCAAACAGGAACATGTACAGCTCTGGAGTGGCCTGGGATGGGCCTGATATATTCTCAGAACTGGGACAGCCAGTGTTCTCTGCCCACCAGCTTCTTGCTGCAGAAGTGAGGGCGGGGGCTGTGTCCCTGACTTGTAGGTGGCTTTTGTGTCTTAACAGCTGGTGCAGTGTGAAGAACTGTGGCTACTGTTGATTGAGTGTGGCCTGCGGGCTTGTAGACATCGTTTCCATTGAGCCTCGTTGCAATCCTGCCATCAAGCAGAGGGGCAGAGGGACTTACCCCAAGCATCTCAGCTGGGGTTCCTTTGGACTATTAACCACCATCTACTCTGAGCTGCATTTGAGTTGCTAAATCCCAAGGCAGAGAAGCCTTGGAAGCACTCACAGCCAAATGGAAACTTCCTTCTGTGTGTCTTGTTTTTGGCAAGGAGACGGTCTCATGCTTGTTGAAAGGTCTGGAGTTGGCACAAGACACTCTAGGTCCAATTTCTCAGCACAAAAGAAATTTACTTACCCCAGAGAGACAAAGGGCACGGAATAAGAGACAAAGACAGAAAATAAAGGACAAGGGAGAAGGGGAAGGGAACAAGGGAGAGAGGGAGGGGTATTTGTCCCAGAGGGGCACAGGACTGACACTGGATAGAGAGGAGACAGATGTGGCCCATAGGTAAATGGCAATTTATAGAGGCAAAAGAGGAAACCCTGTGTTAGGATGAGGTGTTTTATTTTAATTGGGCATGTTAATTAGGGCACCAAAGGCAGCTTTTGATTGCTGGACTTCAATACTTTGATAGTAGGACCTTGGTAGTCAGCCTCAGGAGGAGGAAGTAGCCAAATAAGGGAACAGATCTTGGGGGCTAGCTTTGGGAATGTAATCTAGTGGTCTTACCAAGAAAGGGGGGTGGTGGGGGAAGGGCAAGGCCTGCTAGAGCCCCTTCAGCTGTGTCCTGCTTTGTTTGGCTTATCTAGCATTTATGAGCATTTTCAAGAACATTTAGAAGCCTGGATCTTTCACATAGAAATTTGGATTTCAGGCTTTATTTGAAAAATCTGGCACCAGTGTCCAGAAGGAAGCAGCTAAGTTCCTCTTGGGGGGGGCTTGTCCTCTTCGGGCTGCCACAGCCCCCACCTTTTCCTGTGACCCTAACATTGGATGCTCTTTCTCTCTCTCTCTTCCTTCAAGACAAGGTTTCTTTGTGTAGCCCTAGCTGGCCTAGGACTCACTCTGTAGACCAGGCTGGCCTTGAACTCACAGAGATCCACCTGCCTCTGCCTCCCTAGTGCTGGGATTAAAGTCGTGTGCCACCACCGACAAGAAAGGATGTTCCCCCCCCTTTTTTTTTCTTTTTAAATTTTGTGTGTATGTGTGCCAGGCGGTGGGGGTGCATGCTTTTAATCCCAGCACTTGGGAAGCAGAGGCTGGTGAATCTCTAAGTTCGAGGCCAGCCTGATCTACAGAGTTAGTTCTAGGACAGGCTCCAAAGCTACAGAGAAACCCTGTCTGGAAAAGTCAAAAAAAAAAAAAAAAAACAAAACAAAAAACAATTGTGTATGTGTGTGTGTGTGTGTGTGTGTGTGTGTGTACATGTGTTAATCCATGTGTGTGCATATGTGCATATATGTTCACATGTACACATACATACTTGGGGAAGCCAGAGGACAATTTGCAGGAGTTATTTTTTTCCTTCCATGTGGGCTCAAGGAATTGAACTCAGGTCACCAGACTTGGCAGCAAGTGCCTTTACCATCTTGTCATCCCTTCAACTGCCTCTTCTCATGACAACTGCATTTATCTTTGATGGGATCCAGTTTTTCCCATTTATACTCCAGGGAGACATTTCATGTTGCAGCTCCTAGATTGGCCAAGTGTTGGCTCCCTGTCTTCCTGGCTCCTTCCTTTATCCTAGGAATGCTGATGGTGGGTGTGTGAGAGCTGAGCTCTTTATATTAGCATTGCCTGTGGAGCACCAGGCACCATCTTGTTTTCCTATTGGTGTGTTGAAGAATGGAGTGTGGGATTACATCAGGACTTTTCTATCAGCTGCTTCTCAAAGGGGCTAAAGCCTGGTCCTGCAGATTTAAGACTTCAGGGTCCAGCAGGTTCCCCATCTTGGGGACTCCCAACCTGTCCATTGGTAGCCTCAGAGTGGGTCATGTCCGCAGTCATAAACAAAGTCTCTTTTGTGTGACACCTGTTGACTCTCCTGGAGAGGGATGGAGTGTGAGTCAACTCCAGCCTGTCTTCCTCAGTTGGCGTCACCCAGGGGCAGCACCGGAAAGCAAGCCTGAATCCAGAGCGAAATCTGCGGGGTGTGGAGAGTCATTTTAAGCAAGGGAGGTAGGGGTGTAGAAGCCGTCTGCCATGTGGCTGCACTATGCCTCCCTAGCAGAGGTGCCTCAGCAACTCAGGGCTGTTGAGGGATGCACACTTGAGTGGCTTTAGTCTTTGGAATAGCCAGACGCACTGGGGATATGCACTTCTGAGGCAGGAGCAGGAAGAAAGGCAAGCTTCAAGGCAGCAAGTGTACCCTGCTTTGAAAGGAAGTAAGGAAAGGATAGAGGGAGAGAGAGGAAGGGAAGAAGGGAGGAGAGAAATGATATGACATAACTGGTTTCTAGTAGAGAATTCAAAGAGGAATCTTCGAAAGAGGAGAAGGAGGAAGATGAGGAGGAGGGGGTGGAGAAGAAGGAGGAGAAGGAGAAAGGTCAGGAGGAGGAGAAGGAGGAGCAGAAAAGACTTGAGCTCTGGCCATGTGTGTGGAATAGCGATGTCACATGCCCTTCCCTCCCCCAGGAACTGCTTCAAAGGAAAACTGGCACATTGGAGCTACCAAGTATGGGTACATTTGCTCAGAAAAATAAACAGCTCTTACTCAAGCCTGGGTGCAGGCCTGCAATCCCAGCTACTCCAGAGAATATAGAAGGAGGAGTGGAACTCAAGGAAAGTCCAAGGCTAGCCTAGGCAGCTTGGTCTGTCTCAAAATAAGTAAAACGAGGCCTTGGGTGTTGGAGAAAAAAAAAAGTTGGGAAAAAAACCCAAAAGCCAAAACCACCCTTCCCCATAGTCATACTGGCTCCTATGTAGCTAAGAATGACTTTGAACTTTTGATTCTTCTGCCTCTATCTCCAGAGTCCTGGGACGGCAAATGCACACAACCATGCCCCATTTATGGAGTGCTAGAGATCAGACCCAGAGCCTCATGCCAGCCAGGCAAGCACCTCATCAACTATAACACATCTCCTGCTTTGGGCTGCTGTTGTTTGCTTTTTGTTTGTTTTGTTTTTTAATGCATGTGGGTGTTTTGCCTGCATGTATGCCTGTGTGACACTTGCATGCAGTGCCCAAAATAGCCAGAAGAAGGTGCTGGATCCCTTGGGACTGGAGTTCCAGATGGTTGTGAGCCACCATGTAGGGGTTGGGATTTGATGTTGGGTCCTCTGGAAGGGCAGCCCCAAGATTGTATTAATACAATCTACCTTAGGCCAAGGGACAAAGACAGCATCTAGTTGACAGGAAGTGGAAGGGAGGGACTTTGAGTTTGGTGGTCCCTTTTGGTTTGGAACAGAGGAAAAAGAGCACTCTTTCTGAGGCTCTGGCTAAGGAGGAAGGTCAGCTAGTTGCTGCTCAACCTCTCTGAGCTAGCAAGTTTTCAAATCAGCCTCTGACTCCAGAGTCTTTATAAATTTGATAAAGCCACCAGCCAGTGTTCTTAACCACTGAGCCATCTGTGGAACTCTCAGGGCTGGTTCTTTTAAAAGGGAAATCAGATCGGTGTCTCCCAAGTCTCATTGGCTCAAAGCCTTGTAGAACTCTCCCTGCTGGAGCACCACAAGGGCCAACCTTGACCTCAGGGCTGTTGGTTTGGATGTTCCCTCTGCAGGGAATTCTTGCTCAGGCTGCTGGTCAGAGTCAGTCACTCCAGCTCTTGCTCCAATGTAAACTGCACCCCCTCAGACCAGGGTCTAAGTCCATCAGTAAGTCCCACCCTACTACAGTACGTCTGTCTCCCCCGTCCGCCTGTCAGCTCTTGGAAACAAACAAACAAACAAACAAACAAACAAACACACACACAACAACAACAAAAAAACTAACTTTGCTTCTGCTCACCACTCAACCCCTGGAGCTGGATAAGTGCTGGGCACATGTAGCCCCATGGTGCCAGAGTACCAGATCTCTGTGGCAATGTTGTCACAGAATGGCACAGAAGCCACTTCAGGAGCTTGAAGAGCCAAAAATTGTGCAGTGTCACAACATCGGGTGTAACTAGATGACAGGCACGTGATGCTTGCACAGGCCTGGGGTGCTGGAGGTCTCTCCCTGATATGACAGTATTCTTCAGGTTCTCAAATCCATCTCATGAACAAGTGTAGGGGGATGAGATGGGAAGCATTGAGGATACACAAAATTCCAAATCCTTTATCCATTGCCTGTGTAGGGGTTAGGAGGGTCTGCCCTTCTTAGGCTCTTAGTTTCCCTATCTGTATAATGGGAGACCCCCTTTCCTCTCTTAATCTATTTACCCATTGGGAACTAAAGATTCTAGGCACCCTGAGGACTCACAGAGCCTGTCCCAGGTGGGTGGGCCATCTGAGCACACCCTGGGGGATAGGGGTGGCAAGAAATTCACTGCAATTCCCCAGCCCAGCCCACAGCCTCACTAGACAACCCGTCTACCTAGATCAGGCACATCCTTAGGAGGAAGCTCTTAGAAACACCAGCTCTTTGAGCTGCTGAGATGCCTCAGTGGGGAAAGGCACGTTCTGCTAAGCCTAGCAAGCCTGGTTCTATCACAAACACCCACATGGTGGAAAGGGAGAGGTAACTGCTGCAAATTACCCTCTGACCCCCACACAAACGCTGTAACACACACACACACACACGCACACACACGCACACACACGCGCGCACACACACGCACACACACGCACACACACGCACACACCATACAAAAGAAAAGCTAGCTAGAAGACAGTCCTACCTCTCTGTCCTGGCTCTGTCTTCCTCCCTTTTGTCCTTTTACCTCTCCCTGCCGTCTCTCCTTCCCTCCATCTCTCGGACCCTACATTTTTCCCTTCTCCCTTGTCGCTGATGCAGAACCCAGAAGAGACAGAGGCACTGTGAAGGAGATGAGACTCAGGCCAGATGCAGGTCACAGGGAGGTTTGTGTTGTGGACTGACCTGAAGGGCTTAGGGGCAGCCCTAGGCTCCGGCAGGAGCTAGAGTGGAGGTCCCTGGCCATGCAGCAGAGTCCCTGAGGGTAAAGGGCACAACTAGAGTGGGACTCACCTGTGGTTGAGGCAGCAGTAAATGATGGGGTTGTACATGGTGGAGCTCATGGCTAGCCAGAAGAGTGCCAGGTAAACCTGCTGGATGAACTTGCGGTAGTAGATGTCCTTCTGGAAGCTGCCCAGGATGAAGTAGAGGTGGTAGGGCAGCCAGCAGAAGGCAAATGTCAGCACCACCAGTACCATGGCCTTCACAAACTGGTCAGGGAGAGGCTCAGGTCAGTCCTTGGTCCCCGAGTCCCAAGTCAACCCTCCTGGAACCAATGTGGGGTACCCATCACCACGGCCTTGAGAGCCCCTTCTGCCTCTCTGGCCTCTGTCCCTTAGAACATGTATTTGCCACATGCTCCAGAACCCACCACCTCATGGTATTGCCGTAGACTAGTTTGTCTGTTCACACTGCTCTCCTTCCATTGAAATCCCCATATCTAGCAACTCAGTTCTGTGGTCCACTCTCCCAGGATTCTTTCCCATGAGGGCATCTCTCTATCCTGTCCCCTCTCGTAGGAGGTCAAAGCTCTGGACCCAAGCCATCCTTCCCTGGGCAGGCAGTGATGTTTCAACCTGATACTCCAATCTCAGTCTACAGGATGTTCCTGAGCCCTTCCAGGCACCTCACATGTCTGGCATCTGCAAGCCCACCCCTGCATTGTCCAGCATCCCCGAGGACCAGAAAGCAAATTGGAGATGGCAAGTGGAGGCCAACTTCCCAATTGAAGAGATAACTGGGTGGTATCCTAAGTACCTCCCTGCTTGCCGTGGTGAGAACTTTCAGAACATGAAGAAGTCAGTCTAGCATTGGTTTCCAGATCGCAGAGGTCTGTGGTCTATGCGTTCTCTGAGAGGCCGAGTGACCTGGATTGTGTGCTCCCCACTGTACCCTAGCAGGCAGACTTTGGGGCCCCAGGTGTCTCCAAGAGCAGGCTCCGCCCTCTCTGCTTACGCTCTCACCTTCTTCTTGGCCTGCAGATGGCGCAGGTTGGCGCCGTGAGCCTGGTGTCTGGGGACTGCGCGTTTCCATAGTGTGAGGCCGATGACACTGTAAGCCACGAACATCACCACCAGGGGTAGGAAGTAGACGAGGACAAAAACCAGCAGATGATACCTGGAGGGAGAGCATGGATCTGGTGGGCAGCAGGCGGCCAGATTCACTCAGGCTCACCCACGCTTAAGATCCGTGAACCTCACGGACCCCACCTTGAAGCCCCACCCTGGGCTCGATTTAGAAAATAACTAAGGCCACATTGGCTAGTGTATATGCCAAAGATGGGTTTTTCTCACAAAGTCATCGGCATCAGCTCCATCCATCCTACCGTGTTACAGAAAAGGCTAAAAGGGGGAAAGCTAACACAATTTTATGTTTGTTTAACATATAAAATATAACGCCGGCGCCGGTGGACGGCTCTGTGGTAATTCAAGTTTGCTGCCAAGCCTGATCCTGAGCTGATCCCTGGAAGCCACATATGGATAAATCAGACCATGGCTGTAGAGTGCACACAACTCTGTTTCTGTCTGTCCCTCCCTCCCTCCTTCCTGTTTTAAAAAAGAAACCTTTTAATGCATAAAGAATACTATAAACTGTGTGTTCTGGGTGTGGTGGCACATGCCTGTGATCCCAACAGTACGGGTGTGGAAGCAGGAAGATGGGGAGTTTAAGGTTAATCCTGTTCATAGTGAGTTAGAGGCCAGCCTGAGACGCACGAGACCCAGTTCAAATACATACCATCAAGCACAAAAGTTAGCACTCCACTCCCACCACTATTCACAGGGTATGGCTTTCTCGCAGAGCTGCATATGTAAGGGTATGTTGTGAGTGCAAGAATGGATATGTGTGCACATGAATGTGTACATATATTGAGTAGGTAGATCATATCTGTTAATTCAGGAGCCACACTATAGCAAAGGCCTTATTTGGAGATGAACAGTGGAGACTGCTGCAATCATAGCCACCGTGCCCCCTGCTTCCTGCCCCTCAGCACTGCCTGGGTACATGGCTGTATCAGAAAGACCTTTGAGCAAGATCCACTTACCACTGCACCTTCTGAGTCCCCAGGGAGGATTCTTGGGTTGTACTGAGGTTCACTATTTCCTTTGAGGAAGGCACTGTGCAAGAGGAATGCCACGGGCTCCGTTTCTAGGATGCCACGATCTGAATAAGCCATGGTTCTCACTGCCTCCCAGGCAGGTGTGGGGAGGGGTCCTTGGAACAACCAGGAAAAGGCCCGAGAGTCCCCCTGCACCATGTGACTTCTGTCTGTTTTAAACGTGCATGTTGTGTGCATATCTGCATGTGAGTAGATACATGTGTGGGGTTATGTATATGTATGCATGTGTCTGTGTGTGTGTGCGTGCATGTGTGTGGGCACATGTGTGCAATCCAGAGGTTGACATGGAATGTCTTCCTTGATTCCTCTCTATCTAATATATTGAAGCAGAGTCTCTCCTTGAATCTGGGGCTCTCTGACTTGGCTAGTCCAGCTGGCCTTGCTCTAGTTCACCAGCCTCTACCTCCTGAGTACCGAGACTACAGATGGACTGCCATGGCTACCTGGCATTGACCTCCAGATAGACTGCATGCTCATATCTAACACTAGCCTACACACAGATACCAGTGACAGTGCATGTGTGAGCCACACACTCTATCTGCAGACGCACACGGTCCATGTTCATCCTTAGTGAGGTGGCAGACAGTCTGAGCAGTTAGGCTGAAGCAGGTTTGCCCACATTTGTTTCCCTGCTTTAGACTCACTGACTGTGTTGTCTGGGAGCACATCATGTGATACAGTTTCTCTACCACCAAGATGGAAAAATACAATACGCATGGTTGTCATGGTGACTTATGAGGTGGAGGCCAGAGGTTAAGAGTTCCAGGCCAGCCTAGGCTACATGAGGCTGGAAAATACAAACCAAAACAAGAGGTTGGAGGGAATGTAGCTTAGTTGATAGGATGTTGGGCTAGCACACATGAGCCCTTGGCTCTATCCCGTGAACCACATGAAGCAGGTGTGGTGATATCAAGGTCAACACTAGCTAAAATTAAATACATAAATAGGTATTAACAGTATTTGCTTCATAACATTAAGAAAATTAAAATATCAGCATATACAGAGTGCTTATAACAAGCCTGGTACTTAGCACTGTTTTTAGTATAGATGATTCCCAACTTAGGTCTTGATTCAATGACTTTGACTGTCTGGTGACAGACATAAAATGTGCACTCAGCAAATGATACCTTAAATTATTACCTCTCTGCTTTTCTATCAAGAAGCTGGACAGGGGCAGTGAGTGTTACCCCAGTTAGCCCCCAGGTCACAGTCATGAGGGTATTACCCACATGTAACAGTGGGTATTTCCCATCTACAATGGGTTTGTTGTGGTGCCGCAGCACTGTTAGTTTTTGTTATTTTTTTTAAAAATAGGACCTCATGTAGCCTGTTTGCCTTGAGTGTGCTGTGTAGCTGAGGATGGCCTTGAATTTATGATCCTGTTGCCTATATCTTCCATGTGCTGGAATTACAGGTGTCCACCACTAATCCCAGCTTGTGTGATCCTGGGGTTGAACTAAGGTTTTCCTGGATGCTAGATAAGCAGTCTACCACTGAGCCACACCCTCAGCCCCTTGCTGTCAGTTAAACAGGCACTCATGTGATCACACATAAACCTGAAGAGTAGTGTGCATATCTCTAGGCACATGCTACACACAGACATGAGGCAACATACAAGCATATGTACTCCACCCTCATCCCCCGTGTGGGGCTTACAGAAGGAGCATCTTGCCTCCGTTGTCATTGGGCCAGGCCACCACACACTTGGTGGCTCCCTGGTCCACAGTGATGGTGGAGTAGAAGCATTGTGGGGAGGCGAGAGCCAGAGCTACCAGCCAGATGCCAGCGATAACCGCCTTGGTGCTGGGGGCTGAAAGCCGTGGTTGGAAGGGGTGGACGATGGCCATGTACCTACAAGCAGATCACAACATCAGCTGATGTCCCCCCTTACGGTGTTTTCCACCCAGGCCCATGTCTTCCAGCTCCTGTCCACACAGCTGCTCTGTATGCAGATGTGGACCCCACCCAATCTGCAGAGGTGGTGGTGGGGAGGTGACTGCCTCCAGCCACAGCACACAGGTGCCCTAGAATCTGGCCCAGGTATCCATTCCTCTGCCTCCCTCTAGGTGTGGACAGCCACACCGTGACCCAACCTGGACAGGATACAGTCCAACATTAGCTTGAAGCTCAGCCTGACTCGAGTGTCTGCACCCTCATCTCCATGCCAGCCTCCCACCACTCCTCATTGTACAACCATTTCCCAGACAAAAACCAAAGTCAAGGAACTTTCAGCAACAGTAGATATATCTGACACACACAGGGTCCCTCCCGTTCAGTAACCACTTACCATATCTGTTATAGAACACGGACAACATGGCTAAGGATGACCAAACTTTTATTTTTCTTTGAGAGAAAGTCTCATGTAGCCCAGGCTGGCCTTGAACTTGCTATGAAGCTGAGGATGACCTTGAGCTCCTGATCCTCTCGAGTGTAGGGAGTTACAGACATGTAATGTTATGCTTGGCTTCTGTATTACTGGAGATAGAATCCAGGCCTTCGAGCTGCTAGGTGTGCCCTCTACTAGCTTAGCCCACTATGTATACTTGTGCAGGCACAAGCTGAATCCTGCAGGCAGAAAATCTTTCCAGCAGTTCTCAACCTGTGGGTCACACCCCCACAGGGGTCATATATCAGATATTTACATTACAATTCATAACAGTGACAGAATTACAGTTAGGAAGTAGCAGTGCAAATAATTTTATGGCTGGGGGCCACCACAACATGAGGAAGTGTATTAAAAGGTTGCAGTGTTAGGAGGATTGATGAGGATCACTGCTTTAGACTCTACACATGGCCAATGCTTGGTTCATTCCCCTCATACAGCTTTCTCTGTGCCCTAGCTAGTTTTTGTTGTTGTTTGTTCAACCTGACACAAGCTAAAGTCATTTAAGAAGGGACCTCAGCTGAAAAAATGTCCCCACCAGATTGCCCTGTGAGCAAGCCCATGGGATAGCTTCTTGATTAGTGTTTGATCCTGGAGGGCCGAGCTCATGGTGGGTGATGTCACCCATGGTTAGGCAGTTCCGTGTGGTATAAGACAGCAGGCTGAGCAGGGCACAGGAAGCAAGCCAGTAAGCAGTGCTTCTCTGTGGCTTCCTCTCCAGTTCCTGCCTCCAGGTTCCTGCCCTGACTTCCTCTCAGTGGTGAACGTCACCTAGAAGCATAAAATGAAATAACCCTTCCCTTCCCAAGTTGCTTTTGGTTATGTTTCTTTATTACAGCAATGGAAACCTTAAAGAAGATGCCCCGAAACAGCCTGCATGGCTTTCTGTGAAGTTTCCCTTCTCCCTCCCCTCCTCTCCCCTTATCTTCCCCTCTTCTCCCCTTCCCTTCCCCTCCCCTCTCTTCCCTTCCCTTCCCTTCTGGGGCTCCTCCTTCCTCTCTGTACTCATTGATACTCAGATCACCTTCTTGATGGCATTATCTGGAACAGATCAGCTGCTGTCTCTCTATGGGGACCTGAGCTTCTGTTGAGCTCTGTGCTTCGTGAAGTGTTGTGGCCTTGACAGTGACTATCATCTCCATTTTCCACATCAGGAGACACTGACTTTGAGTCCTGGTTGGTCCCAGCTCTCTACTCCTGGATCACCCTGTTCCCTGTATTTCAGGACCCACACAGCCACTGTAGGGGCACCATGGACTTAGTGGGGACTCAGGTTTCATTAGCCCAGGGCCCAACTGAGGAAGGCTCACTGCTTTCTTTTCCAAGGCTAAAGGACTCAAAGGCACCATCCTCAAGGATGAAATCCCATCCTCCCAATATACATTCTAACCTAGGGGCTTGGTTCCCTCTCAGCAGAGGACAGGGGAGGACTAGATAGTTGTCACAGGCTTGTGAGCCCTATAATGAAGTGCACAGACCGTTCATTAAAATAAGATTAATTTGTTTACTTGTGTGTTCTTTTTTTTGATGTTATTGGTTTTTTGTTTTCATTTATTTGTTTTGGTTTTTTTGAGACAGGGTTTCTCTGTGTAGCTTTGGAGCCTCTCTTGGCACTTGTTCTGTAGACCAGGTTGGCCTTGAACTCACGGAGATCCACCTGCCTCTGCCTCCTGAGTGCTGGAACTAAAGATGTGCACCGCCACCACTGCCCAGCTTGTTTCCTTTTGTGACATGATCTTACTGTTTAGCCCTGGTTCGCCTCCAACTCACAGAGATTTGTTTGCTTCTGCCTCTTGAGTGTTTGGATCAAAGGACTAGGTCACTATACCCAGCTGTTCATTTTAATTTTGAGACAAGGGTCTCATGTAGCCCAGGCTAGCCTCAAACTCTGTATACTGAGGATGGCCCTCAATTTCCCAAGTGCTAAGCCATGCACCACCATGCCAAGCTGAAATATTTGCATCCATGCAGGTGTGTACAGTGTATGGAGTCCAGAGAACAACCTTAGGTAGCCGGGCAGTGGTGGCGCACACCTTTTGTCCTGGCACTCAGGAGGCAGAGGCAGGCAGATCTCTGTGAGTACGAGACCAGCCTGGTCTACAAGAGCTAGTTCCAGGACAGCCTCCAAAATCACAGAGAAACCCTGTCTCAAAACAAAAACAAAACAAAAAAAGACAACCTTGAGTGTTGTTTCTCAAGATATCACCTACTTTGATTTTTGAGATAGGGCCTCTTGGTAGTCTGGAACTCACCACTTTGGCTAGGCTGACTGTGGTAGTTTGAATGTAATTGGCCCCCATAAGCTTTGTTAGAGTAGGTGTGGCCTAACAAGGAAGTGTGGCAATGTGGAGGTAGACTTTGAGGTCTCATATATGCTCAAGCCACACCCAGTATTTCAGTTCACCTCCTGTTGCCTTTGGATCAAGATGTAGTAGAATCCTCAGCTCCTTCTCCAGCACCATGTCTACCTGCATGCTGCCATACTCCCAACCACTATGCTCCCCACCATGATAATAATGGATTAAATCTCTAAAACAGTAAGCTGCCTCCTCAATTAAATGTTTTCCTTTATAAGAGTTGCCTTGGTCATGGAGTCTTCACAGCAATAGAAACCCTAAGCAAGCACTGGGAATCCTCCCATCTCTAACCTCTCCTGCTCTGGGATTACTAGTGTGTGCTAGCATGGATGGAAGTTAGGTAGGTGTTCATGCTCACATTGCAAGTTCTTCACTGACAGCCTCTGCCTCCTGAGTGCTGGGATTAAAGGTGTGCATCACCAGTGCTTGGCTAGAATAAGCCAATATGAGGGCCAGGTGTAGTGGCTCATGCCCCATTAGCAGAGGGTCAGGTCCTGAGAGTTTAGAATCAGGCTGATCTGGGTTCAAATCCCATCTCCACCATTTCCTGACAACAAGATCTTGAACAAAGAGAGCCTTAGCATTCTGGGTTTCCATTTCCAGCTCTATGAAAATAGGTCATTCTTGCACATGGGACACATGTGCACAGGAATGAAAATAGACATATGTATTCATTGTTTTAAATTCATCAGAGATGGCTTTGGTCATGGGCAGTGCCTGGTTCTTCCTCTCTAAGAAGTACCTGAGCTTAGACAAGACTGAAACCATAGACTACAACATGTTAATTGTATGTTTCTCCAGTTTGCTGAAATAGAGGTGAACATCCTGGGTGTTAAGATTGCACCCTAAGAACATCACCACCTTATCTGCTGCTTGGAATGTTTGTCTCTAGACTTCTCCAGACTGCCCTAATCTCCTGCTCACTTTTGCAGATCCCAACCTCTCAATGAGACCTATTCTATGCCCATTTAAGCCTGTAGCCCAGTGGTTCTCAACCCCTTTGACAAACCTCTGTCTCCAATTTACATCACAACTGATAACTAGCAAAATTATAGTTATGAAGCAGGAACAAAAATTATTTTATGGCTGGGGGTCACCACAACATGAGGAACTGTATTAAAGGGTCACAGTGTTAGGAAGGTTGACAACCACTGAGTGTAGTCTGACCTTCCCTACCACATCTTGGTGGCTGGAGATCTCCCTCTAGTTAATATTTGTTCTCAACACTCACAATCTCATCTCAAAATACAACTTACAATTTATTTATTCGTGAGTGTAGGATTTGCATTCTTACCCTAGTAGAAACATCTACATGGGTTTTTCCCCCACCTGAACCCCAGAACAATACTTACGTGGCAGACACTGAGTAAACATTTGTGGAGTGAAGAAAGGGAGAACAGGGGGCAATGAAATGGCTCAGTAGGTAAAGGTGCTTGCTGTGAAGCCTGAGAAACCGAGTTCAGTCTCCAGAACCCACAAAAGGTAGGAGGAAAGAACTGAGTCCCGCAAGCTGTCCTTTGACCTTCCCAGGTATATTGACAAGCATGCACATACACACACAAACACACACACACACACACACACACACACACACACACACACCAAACAAACAAATGTGATTAAAAAAAAAAAAAAACTTTAAAGGCAGGAAAAGGAATGGTGAATCTCAGGGGCTGTCAGCCTGATCAGAGTCTTTCCTCTGATGCCTGCCTGCTTCCTAGGCTCCTCCTCCCCAGCATTTTGAGGTCCAGCCTCCTCTGAAGTGGAGGCTTTAAAAACATGTGCTAAAGTTGTTTTCCTTCCCATTGGTGGAGGTTCCCCCAACACCTGAAACAGTACCCAACACAAGGGAATCATCCCAAATTTGCTGCATAACTGAAAAAGAAATGCTTAGGGGTCATTCAGACATAGCCAGGGAGGAGGGAGAGATGCTCAGTGGGCATCAGCCGACTTTGAGACTTCTCCTGTACCCATTGCCCAGAGGGCTGTGTTCTAGGCCCCTGACAGATTCACTGTCTGATCTTTAGTAGCCCTATGTATCCTGATTTTCAGTTCCCTTGGGTGTGATGTTAGAAGCTGGGCCTATATGAATGGTGTTTAAGTTTTTGTGTATAGCAACTGACTATGTAGCTGAGGATGATCTTGGGCCTCTGACCCTCCTCGTGCTCTACCTCTGAATGTGGGAATTACAGACATGTACCACCATCTTATACCTGATTTACACAATGCTGGGGATCAAAACCACGCAAAGCAAGCACTGTTCCAACTGGCCTGGTTTGCAACCCCAAACTTTTCTTTTTTAATGAGTAGAAAACATTGTCTCAAAGGAAATGTCCAGAGAACCCCTCAGGAAACCATCTATAGTTCAGCAGTTAGAGGCCGTTGGTGAAGGTTGCTGGCGAAGCTGGGGAGGGGTGGGGGATAAGGGAAGATGGAGAGGCTCACATCTATCTAACCACACAATCAGTACTCTATGTCCGAGGGTGTCATGGCTCTGTCTCTGTCTCCTTTGGACTTCCTGGGTCTTTGCCTCATCCCATCATACTGGCTGTCAGTCAGACTCCTGCTCCCACAGGCATTTGAGTCCCCTTTATCCCAGCCTGTCTGCCCCAGAAGGTCTCAATGCTGCTTCCTCCACACTAGCCTAGTCCCACCCCTCAAAGGTCACTGTTGGCACATCCATACATACACCAGCAGCATTAAAAAAAAAAATAGCATTGTTCTATGGAGCACTCTAACCTCATGCAACATTCAACTTCTTTCTAAATGCAAAAGCAATATGCACAGTTGCCTTGTATAAAGACAGCAAGATAAGGGGAACATCTTCCTTTTCTACCTTGAGCAACCTCCTAGGGTGAAGTCATTCTGTGTCTAATCCCAACTCTCCCCACTTTGCTCCACACCCCCCTGTCTTCCTGCTATGAACCAAAACCAGGTCCAGGAGGCAATTCCCTGAGTTCTTTCCCAACAAGACACCCACCACCTTCCCTGATGCCCACTCTTGCCTGTCAGCAGCGATGGCAGTCATGGAGTAGATGCTGACGAACATGGCTGTGATGGGAAAGAGGTTCTGGAAATAGCAGAAGGCGCGGCCAAAGTACCAGATGTTGTGACTGGCATAGACAAAGTTGAAGGTGGCATTGAAGGCTGCCATGCAGAGGTCTGCCAAGGCCAGGTTGATGATGAAATAGTTGGTGACTGTGCGCATTCTCTCATGGGCCAGAATGATCCAGATAACTGTGGCGTTGCCTGTTACAGCCACCAGCACCAGGGCCAGGTAGGCTGTGGCCCACAGTGCCAGCTGCCAGGCAGGCATGGAGAAGGCTGTGACACCAGTGGTGTTGCTCTCGAGGCCAGATAAGATGTTGGTGTCAGTGGCAATGGCACGGGCCCCCATGGCTGATTCTGGGCCTGGAACACAGGGTCTGGCCTGTCAGTTCTTTCTGGAATTGCTACAGAAGAGAAATCCTCTTTGGTGTGTAGATATACGGGAGGGAGGACGATTAAAAGCTAGGGGACCACACCCACAGCTCGAGCAGAAATGAGTTAGGCTGAACAGAAAACAGGCTTCCAGCCACACGGTTCAACCATCTTGTGAAATGGGGAACTCAAGCTGCGGTCCCGGAAGGAGGGATCCTGATGGCACATTGGCTCAGAGCTACCACAGTCAGAGAGAAGACCGGTCCAGCCGTGGGCATTCAGGAACTTGGTGACAAGCCAGGACTTGAATTCATCTCTCTTAATGCTATTCTATTCGGAGTACATTTCCAGATGAGAGGTACGCACAGCGTGGCTAGTCTGTGGGTCCTACGAGTCCAGTGTGCAGCCGACTTTGTAGAGCAGACTCCCAAGGCTGCCAGCCCTCAGCTCCTGCTCCCCGTTCCTCCCTGCAGGGCAGGCGAGGGCCTTGGCAGAGGTGCTGCCTGCTCCCGCCCTCAATCCACCCCCTGCTTAGATGGCTGGGCTTTGTCTCTGGAAAGATTTAGGACCTGCTGAGAAACTGGGAATGGGGAGAGACCTCAGGAAGCCAGGCACAGCCTGGGTGGGCGTGGCAAAGTGGGTACAAGCTTGGTGTTTACATTCTGCCAGGTGCATTGGCATTCGCATTGGGGAATGAGAAGAACTCGAGGCTGGTTTGGGAACCCCGGGCAAGTAATTTACTTTGCTTGCAAAGAAAGTCAGTGTTCAGAAATCCCGGGCCGGGGTGGGGGTGGGATGGATATGAGGGTGAGTTTGATGGGGTGTCAGTCAAGTGATGAAGGCTGGGTTCTGGGCCTCTGGCTGTGCCCTTGACTGGTTGGCAATCCTGGTCATTCCTCATCTCAAGCCTCAGTTTCCTTGGATGTAAAATTAGAAACTGAGGGGGCTGGAGAGATGGCTCAGCAGTTAAGAGCACCAACTACCTTTCAATAGGTCCCAGGTTCAATACCCAGCACCCACATGGCAGCTCACAACTGCCTGTAACTCCAGTTCCAGGGGATCTGACACCTCCACACAGACATACGTTTAGGCAAAACATGAATGCACATAAAAATAAATTATTTTTTTTAAATTAGAAATTGAGTTTAGACAAATGGTCTTCAAATCTCTCCCTCTTTCCCCTCCCCCTCAGTCTTCTATATCCCAGGCTGACCTCACACTTGCCAGCAGTTGAGGGTGACCTGAACTTCTGATCTTTGTGAACTTTCCAAATGCTGGGATTAGATGCGTGTGCCACTCAGCCTAGTCTACACAGTGCTGGAGGTAGAACCAGAGCCTCACGAATGTCAGGCAAGCACTCTAAGAACTGAGCTATGCCCCCAGTTCTGCGCTCTGTAGGGTGGAAAATCAAGTGCAACTTACAGACGTTAAGATAAAGACAATGTTAAGCCATGCATCCTGAGACTCTTTTCTAAAGATAGAGGTTCTCTGTAGACCAGGGCTGGCCTCAAACTCCAATACCTGTCTGCTTCTGCCTCCACAGTGCTGGGATTAAAGGCGTGTGCCACTACATGCAGTTTTACTGGGAATTTCCTGATGAGCTCATCAATGCCATAATACTATCTATTGTTTGTTGTCCTAGCTAGACTGATGTGCAAAGTACATTTGGGGACTGGAGGACCTACTTTTAACTTTAGAGAAGAGGTCCTTCTGGAACCCCTCATCTTTCCTAGGATGAGCTAGATAGAGTAGTGATTCTCAACCTGGTTACGACCCCTGGATATTGAATGACCCTTTCACAAGGGTCACCTAAGACCATCAGAAATATAAGATATTTACATTAGGATTCATAACAATAGCAAAATTACAGTTATGAAGTAGCAACAAAAACAATTTATGGTTGTGAATTAAAGGATCACAGCATTAGGAAGGTTGAGAGCTGCTCAGCTAAAGAGATCTGAAACTCCTGAACACAATACAGAGTTAGTCACATTCTTTGCCAGGCCATGAAGGCATATTTCTTCTCTTGGATGAACCACCATGTTTTATCGTTGGTCTCTTACCAGAGGGTCTCTGTCTTTGATCACTTGGTGGCAGCAGAGGCATCCAGTCAACCCTGCACTTGTTCTGGTCCCAGGCTTGTTTGGCCCCGACCCCAGAGGACAAAGCCTCTAGCAGTAAGAATGGAGGCCATTTTCTCCTTGCTAGTCTGATCTCCTGTGCTCAGGCAGCCGCCCAGTGGAGAGCTGGGAAGTGTGTCACAGCACCAGAAACCCAGAATAACATGTCCCCGCCCCTGCCACTCCATTGTGTATGCAACGGGGATTATACTTTGGAGCTATTAAATCTGAGTTTTTATTTCCTCCCTAAATCATAAACTCTTGTAGCTTTCCAACAATGCACCAGAAGGCTTGTAGGCTCAGGGAAGGAGAGGTTCTCCTCTCTGCGGGGCAGGGGGACAGGACACAGTGTGGCTGGTCAGCTATGCTATGGCCTATAGGTCTTTGGAATCTGCAGGCCAGTCTTCAAGAAGGAAGAGAGGTATTGTTGGTTATTTTTACTCTTTTGGCTTTTTTTTTTTTGGTGGGGGGCACCACCCAACTCTCAAATAAATTATGTGGAATCTTATTCTTACTCACAAATGTCTAGCTTGGCTTGTTTCTAGCCAGCTTTTCTTAAATTATCCCATCTATCTTTTGCCTCATAGCTTCACAGAGTTAAACAAATGCAACATAAAAGAATGCAACACATCTTTGCATCATTAAACAATGTTCCACAGCATACACAAATGTAACACATCTTCAATTAATATTCTACATTTCCCCCTTTTTATCTAAATAAGAATGAAAGGTTTTAATTTTAACATAGTAAAACTAGATACAATGAAAACACTTATCAAGTAAGAATTAAATTACAACATTCAGTCCATTTGCATTTAGCAAATTCAGAGAAAATACTACATTATCTATCTTACTGAATCCAAAGCTTTACATCTAACAACTTTCTTTTATAATTAAAAAAAACTGCAGCTATAACTCCCTAGTCTTCAACTCTATCCAAGAGCCAGAAGGAATTAATATTACCTAATTAAACAGGGAGTACATTGCAAGCAACTTCTAAGACTCTAGAAATGACAGAGACATCTTGCTAACTGAACAGTCACCCAAAGTTTCTCTGGAACATTGGGTCATCCATCTTCAGTCTACAGGCCTAGATTATCTGGCAGACTTTTCAGTGAAGAGAAGTTAAATGGCTGTTCTGCCATGTATTGGCAAAGTTGATCAGTCACTTTCTTTTGTGCCCTGCAGAATATCTGGCAGCCTCTTATGTGAAGCAGGAACCCTGAAAGACTGTCCCACCTTGTTTTGGTAAAGTTCATCAGTCACTTTCCTGTGGGTCCTGAGTGTCTGGTTTATACAGCATACTGTCAAGTAGTCAAGGCAAAATCAGTTTCTTCCCACATGGCTAACCTTGCCACAGTGAAAACACATTCCTATGGAATTTCTTCTATGCTCATCATTCTTTTATGAAGTAAATTGGTGATACCAGGGGCAAATGTATCTCATTGTCATGAAAAGCCATAAGTTAATAAAACATTTTAAATGCCATATTCTGTAAGTCTTTGAAGTGTTCGAAAATCATCTATCTAAAATATACCTATTTAACATTGAAAACCTTACCTAATGTGACTACAAGTTTAATTATTATAGACTAACTACTAACCTCATTTCTTACTTATATATTGAACTTTTAAACAAACTGCATAAGTACAATACCCCAAATAAGAGTAGAGCACAATGAAAAATCTCTGAGGTTAATAGTTGTCTTTTTATCAATTATTCCTATATTCCCTAAATTATAACAAACATATATAAACCACCAAATAAAGAAAAGCCTCCCACAACCCAACTCTTGAGAATGTGAATGTCGTGTTCTCTAGACTGCTTCCTGTTGAATGTGATTGAAGGCATCTTCAGGGTCCCTGATAAAATTCAGAGATAATGACCAGCAGTAACCTTTGCTGATAGTTCTCACCTGTCAAGATTCAGGAGCTCTCCCTGATCAAACCATATTAACCTGGAAGGAATCCACAGCTTCTCATTTCCTGTGGGTACAAAAGCAAAACCTCTCCTCCAAAGCATTTTTGCTTTCCATTTGACAAATACAATTTTTTTTTACTTTCATTTTAAAGTTAAGGCATTCTTAAAGTGTATAGGATGGTTTATTTCAACAGTCCTTCTGTCAACTCCAGGTCTCTTAGCAGATGTTTGCTTATCAGCAATTAAAAACTTCAAAACCAAAAAATCAAATCAACACAATACTATACAGGATCCAGACTCCCTGTGTATTTCTCATCTTTACATGGCTTTTTTTTTTTATTCTTACTGTCTTTTAAAAGACTGTATTATTTTTAACCTATTTCTTTCTTCCTATGACTGTCGGTACTCTTTTTCTTTCTTAGGTCAATGCACATTGTAAAATATACTGGAACCTGTTCACAGTTTTTTTTTTTTTTTTGTTTTTTTTTTTTTTTTTTTTTTTTTTTTGGTTGGTGTTTTTGTTTTTTTTCCAGACAGGGTCTTTCTGTGGCTTTGGAGACTGTCCTGGAACTAGCTCTTGTAGATCAGGCTGGTCTCAAACTCACAGAAATCCTCCTGTCTCTACCTCCCCAGTGCTGGGACTAAAGGTGTGTGCCACTACCGCCCAGCTCTGTTTACAGTTTTTTGGGGTTTTTTTTTTTTTTTTTTTTTTTTTTTTTTTTTCTGTTCCTCTTTTACTGTGTACCTTTTAGCCTTTTTTTGACTGCAATCTTTAGACTGTTAAGCTAAGCTGGGTCCTCCGAATTGCTCTATCGCTGCTCTATTAGCTGGCTCCACCAGCTACTCAGGCAGTGAGAGCCAAGCCTAAAGCTCACCATCCTGCCATAGGTCTAAGTGACCAGGACTGCATCCAACCTTCCTAGCTTAGGAATGCGGT